TGTAGCTCAATTATATATGCCATTCTGTTTGCCTGAGCAGGAACATTTAAGCGCAACTGTTAATGCACACAAAGAGAATACTCAGATCCCCCCACCCCATAACAAGAACTTGAACACCAACCTCCCTTGAACCCTGCATCCTGCTTACCCTATGGAATGGTCTAACTCTCATCACCAGTCAGCAGTCTTTCCAGTTGCTTTGGACTCTCAGAGTGAAGCTATATAAAGAATAACGAGAGAGTTGCCAGTCCTGTTCCATTTTCAGTCTCTACTGACAAAGAGAACAAGCTATAGTTTTGTCACTTAAATGACCAGAAAAGTGCAGTGTCACTTACTTGGATTTAAACAGCAAAAGGTGCTCAAGATTAATGAAGACGAGCTGATGCATTAGTGGGTTTTCAGCAAGTGCAGAAACCAAATGATGACAGCCTTGACTATCAGGAAAGAACAGCGTAGGCAGACCAACATAAGAAATAGAATACATGCAGATATTTGCATTTCCTTTCTCATGGCACCCATGCCTGGAACTCTTTTTCTTATGTTTTAGGCCACTTTTTAAAATTCAGGAGCTTAGATGCCTTGAAAATACCATCTCTGTCAGCCCTCATCTCTACAAAGTTACAGTCGGAACAGCAAGCTGGAGCTAGAAGGCCAAGGAATATCTACACGGCGATTAAACTGCAAACTTCTGCATATTAACAAATACTGTGCTTGAAACTGCAAACTTCTGCATAATAACAAATACCGTGCTTGAAACTAGAGCAACTGGCCGGCATATTTTACACTGTGATTTTTATTTAACAAGTTCACGACACCTGAAGGCGTGATGGACACCTTCCAGTGCTATTGACATGACAACTTCTTTGCCCAAGACAGTTTTCAGTGCAGTCACAAAGGAAGAGACAACCACATAAGGTAGTACAGGGAATAAATCAGGACAAGGTGTACAGTAAGAAGGATGCATGCATGTTCTGATGGTCCTATCAAATACATACGAAACAGCAGTCTGGATTTAACAGGGACCTTTGCATTTTGAGGAGAAAGAATGCACTTCTTATAGAAGGCACAGCAGCAGCTTTAAGTATGATGGGAAGCGAAAGCCTGTTTGTACTAACGTTTTCCATTTTTCGTGTTAAAAACATCAGGCTTTCAGAGGGCAGAGAAAATACTGCATGTGTAGGTGAAGAGGGACGAGGCAAAACAGTGCCAGAGCCATCAGAGACATAGGACCATAAGTTTGAAAGAGATTTCCCAGCTCAGCAGCATGGCCACAGCAACACACCACTGCTTTCAGCCATTTTGCACATGCACAAGTGTTTGCTATTCACAAGTACATTGTTGCAAGATTTTTTTATGGCACAGGAGAGGTGATCTGCACATCCCACGGTCAGCACAAAGGGCAGCTAGGACAGCGGCTTGAGCAAAAAGCCAAGACAGAAACAGAGGAAAGGCCATAGGGCAAGGAGTGAAAGCTAGACAGGACTGGGCTTGTACACTGTGTAGAAGACGCTAATATCAGAGTAATTATATAGCTTCTTCTAGCTACGCCAATGTTTTGCAGTACTATTTCTTTCCATTCAAAAAGGAGCCTTTGCTCCTCCCTTTGGAGTGGTCTCTGCAGTGTACTGGGCTGCAGAAGCAGGGCCACCAGCCTACTTAATGGTGCCCTGTCCTCGGGCAATGGGGAAACCCAGAACTTCAAGACTTTCTAAAAGTGTTTGTTTCTAAGGGATAAAAAGGAGTGGCTCTCTGGAGCACACGGAGGTGTGCTTTACAGCTTTGGGAAGAGGCTCATTTCCACACACAAGAAAAACCACACCAGATCACACCAGAAGTCCTTCTGAGGCCAGTATCTCACCCTTGGCACTGACCATTAAGTAATGCATAGGGAAAAATATAAAACCAGGTCAACTACAATGTCTTCCTACAACACAGTTACCCTGCAACAACCTGTGGTTCAGGGACCTCCTGAATCAAAGTTGGTGTTTTCATATTTAGCAGTTTGCAATAGGATTTTCAGGCATGAGTCTGGACAGCTGCTTTTTAAACCCACGTAAATTTGTCGCACCGGCAACATTGCGCAACGAGGACTTTGCAACTGAAACATGCAGTAGGCCAAGATTATCATCCTCCTATTTGCTCTGACCCTGCCTCCAGCTGGTTTCATTCAGTGCACCACACTTCTCGTTTGGGAAGGAACAGCAAACAGTCATTCTCTGGTCACTCGTGGTTTCATAAACTTCCACCATCTCTTTCTTCCATCCTTTCTTGTCTAGACTGCAGACTCCTAGTCTGTACATTCCTTTGGATTATCCTAGCTGCTTTTGTCAGCAGTTTATCTGGTTTTGCTGTATACTTTTGCTCTGTAAAAATGGCCTTGACTCTTGTCACCGTGTCATATTAAACCTGAATTTACATATTCAAATCCTTCAAAAGTTTCTGTTCTCTTGCCCAGAACAGATATTCTGGTTGCTGGGTGCAATTCCTAGACCTCCCTGCCAATGCTTTTTTAGAACTGGTGGCATATTCGCTGTCTTCTGCTCTCCTGCTATTTTGGTGGTTTTGAACAAGAGGTAATACAGAACAGTCATTCAACTAAAACAAAACATGTAAGGTGAGCTTTAAAGGAGCACATAGCAATTTCCACTATGAAATTCCTCATTCTAATGGATCTTCTGCAGACTGAAAGAAATCTTTAATTTTTCAGATTCTCAGGAAGCCAATGAGAAAGTTATTCCCCTCTCTCCACCTACCTTGCTCCTAGCTGCTTTCTCTTGGGGCAACAGCTACTATGCCCTGTGTCTCACTACCCCAGTTCTGGTGATGGGAATCAGAAGGTAGTGGTGTAGCAGAATGACTGAAGGAAAATATTTCCACATAGTCAGATTTTCTTTTGCTCAACCTGGTGCCTGTGCAGACAACAAGGGAAAAATTCATCAAGATCTACAGGTGTTTCCAGTTGTGCCAGAACATGTGCAAAACCAGCAGCTGACCACAGCTGGGTTCCTGTCCACATGTGTAACAAGTTAGTGATTTTACACAATCCTGGTGGACAGTCCACAAATTAACTCAGCTTTGGGAGCAGAGTTTTCACCACCTGAACTGTTCTGAGACTTCCTCCAAGTTCTGCAGTGGGAATGCTGGCTTCCCAGGTGAGAAGAGCCCGTCCTCACAACGTCTTCACTGGACAGGGAATGAGATATCAGTGTTGCTCTGCAACATGTGCACTCACTCCACGGTAAATTGGAGTGCCACCCATTGCTCCCGCAGTGCTGCCAGTAGGATCTAAAGGGATGGCTGACCTGAGAAGCATCAGCCCCACCACCCACACTTGCAGTGACTACATGCAGAATCATTAGGACAGGGGGCCAGGGGTTCACTGAGATATCCCTGAGCCTAGAGAGAGGGCAATGCCAGACTAGCAGGGGGAACGGAGGTTACCTGTACAGGAGAGCCAAGGCAGGTCCAGAGAAAAGTTAGAACAAGATTGGGAAGACCCAGCTGCAGCAAAGGCCAAGAAGCTTTGAGAAGCCATTCTGCTACAGCCAGGATCAGCTGGAAGCCCTTCAAAGGAGGCCTGGCTTCAAGCAGTCCAGAAAATGCTGTGCCATGTATGAGTGAAAGACCTGTGGTCCCATGCAGGGTGAACAGACTTCATGAAAAACACACAGCACAGGCGCTGCTTAAGGGAATTTGAAAAAATAACAGCAGAATCCCCTCTTCAATTCACACAGAGCTTCTCTGCTGGCCTGTGTCCATGGCCCCATGCAGAAGGGCATGCTGCACTTCTCAGTGTGCAGGAATTGGTTTTCCAAGCCCTGGACAGGTTTGGCAAACCACTGAGGCAGTCTGTTGTGTTCCTCTACTCCCACAGCTGTTTGTTACCATATCTACAGCTGCACTGGCAGGGCAGTAGTTGTGTTTCACCTCTCATCCACTTCCAGCAAAGTCCCACCAGTTTAATTAGAGAAGTAAGGCCACAGGCAGGCACCTCCTTCCAAATTTAGCTGAAGAGGTATTGGCCTTCAGATGTCCACCTCTCATCCACTCCCCAAGTCAGGTTATCAACCCACAGCCCCACTGTTGGAGTGGTTTGAGACTGCTCTAAACCACATCAAACAAACTCAGAGCATCTGCTCAAACTGCTCAGCCTAATTCAGACTTGTGGGTGGACACGTATCTTAGAATAAAGTGGTAGAGTTGAGGACAAAAATCACCTCAGCTTGCAGGTGCACAAGTCTTTCTTCATGCCTGAAACAAAAAGAGCAGCTTTCAAAGGCAACTACAAGGAAAGACCAAAATGTTAAGCGTTCAATCCATCACAGAATGGACCAACTACGTGTGACCTAAGTGTTTCACCTTAAACATAATAAGGAACACTCCCACGAAGAAACTTCTTGGCACTGCACAGAGCTGGTAACTTTCCTTCAGTGTGATGCTGGGCAGTTGCTGGTGGTTGCATTTGGTGCAGCCAGAATGGGCAAGGCTGCCTAGTCATGCCCTACTCTCCTTTTTTCACTCTACCCATTTGACCTGCTAAGATAAATCTACCTAGAGATACAGTGGGCTAAGAGTGGAGTGTCCAGGGAAGGAGGGGAAGAAACTAAAGGTTTTAATTAAAGAAGCAGTACTCGTGCAGGATACCAGAAAACTCAGCATTAAGATATAAACTGTTTTGGTCCAAGTACAGCACACCTATACCTCCTCATGACACACACCTCATTACAGCTGACAAAACTACAACATGCCTGAATGTGGCCACAGTGCAGACAGTAAACAGAAAGGACTTCCATCATCTTTAATACACAGTCAAAGCCTACAGAGACCACAATTCCCTGTCTCAATATAACTGGGCAAGTTGCCACACAGATATGCTCATATTAGAGACAAAAAACAGCTGCAAGTGTCTCTAGACCACTGCTGGCCATATTTATCTTGTGGGTTACACTTGGCCAACTCTGATTTAAAAATCAAAGCAGGTAAATTTTTCCCCCACTTTGATACCAAGTAACAGATGTACGGAACTGAGCCCTTACTGGCAACCCAGTGATATGACAAGAGGGTACTATTAAAAAACAAACAAACAAACAAAAAATAGAACAGACATATACATAAGGTACAACCCCCCAATTTTCTCAGTACATTGGGGCATACATGCTTGCAACATGAACTCCGTAAAGCTGTATTTTATACAGCTGCCTTTTAAAAACTGCTGAACAGGTGACACTCCTTAGCAGGCCTCCAGGATTCAGTTCAGCAGATTTGCAGTTACACAGTCGCATAGATTTCTCTTTTCCACCTGAAGAAGCAGAGTTTCTGTCTATAAGAGGGGGGAACAAAAGCAACATCAAAAAACAAGCATCAGCACTATAAAATTAATTAGCTCCCAAAGAAAAGTGCATTTTACTTTTGTTCTAAGATTTGGAATTGGTTGTATAAGATGAGGCTCAAGGTAATAATCAGAGTTTTTCCTTACTGCTCTGAAAAATAATTTAGCTTTTGTGTGATTAACTGGCATGCCAACATGGCAATACTTCCTATGACATGGAGAAATTCACTGCAGTACACATTCATGTTTTTCACGTTAGTACATTCAGTATACTTCTGGGTGCTGTATTTTTGTTATTTGTCTTTCTTACAATCTTACTTCAACTGCACAAACTGGAGCATAAGCTCTCAAGTTCATGGGAGGCTTAAAAAAAACCCCAAAACCTGTCAGAAATTTTCTTTTTACTTAAAAACATACTCAAAAAATTAAATTTAGAGTACTACAGCCTGGACTCAACTTTGAAAGTTATACAGAGAAAGTGAGGCATAATTTAATGACAGAATATCTCAAGTTGGAAGGGACCCATAAGGATCATCAAATCCAACTCCCTGCTCCTCGCAGACCTACCTAAAACTAAACCATATGACTAAAAGCATCATCCAGATGCTCCTTGAACTCTGACAGGCTCTGACCACTTCCCAGGGAAGCCTGTTCCAGTGACCGAACACCCTCTCAGTGAAGAAATTTACTTCTGTTTTAACTTCTCCTGCTTCACTGTTGTTACCGTTAATACACTGTTGGAGCCCAAAGTAGATGATAGGTTCTGAGCTGGCATACAGCCATCACAGTTCAAATGTGTGATGAGATTGCTGGCTTCTTTAGGGTCGCAAAGTGGTGAAAGCAGAGGTCCCCCAGTTGAACTGGGGTTCATCAATATCAGATCATTGCTGCCCACAGGGATTTTCTGGAGCAGCAAGAGCAGATTGGGAACTTCTCAGAGCTGGAGCTGGGTATGATCAGAAAGGCCTGCATCCTCTCAACCTACCTCATGCAAGAAGTGACTGAGGACCAGGGAAGTGACAGCAGGCCTCCATAACTCCATAAGAGAAATTTGGGAATCCTTCCTCTCTAGCACACACACTCTTTGGTTTTCCTGGCTGTTTGGAGCACTTGTGGCTTCAGTAGAAGCATGACAGAGCACAGAGCTGTTTGACATAAACATCATATCTTCATGTCATTTTGTCTGTCCTGAGCTCAAGCTGTATCTGAGAATCAGTCTGATCCAAAAGAGGACTTCCTCCTTGTTATCATGGGACACTCTAGCTGTGGGAAGTCCACTCACCAAATGAATCCCCACTGGCATAACCAGCTAGACAAAAAAAGGGCATTATGAAGACTACCGGCTCTAAATGCCAGTGAAATCCCTCCTTAATCTGCCTGTTTTGTGATTTTCTTATTAGGTGGAATTGCCATGTGATTAAAGACTGTGTTTTAAAAGCTGGTGATCCACTGACCCACATCAGCTGAAGGCACTTAGAGCAGAACTGGGCTGAAGCATCCTGCTTACCACCTGCCTTCTTAGTACAGGAAAACCTATCTGTTGGTCAGGTTTTTATCCCAGATGATAAATCACCAGACACAGCCCTGTGGTTCTATAACAAATCACGCATCGCTTTTGATTGTTTCAGCTACCCTGCAAAACTGGAAAGATCTGATCAGACTTAGATAATCACCTTAAAGACACTCAATCATCGCCTTCTAACCATCTCCTTGACATCATCTGCAATGGTTTGAATAAGGGAGGTTGACAGCATGCCAACAGCTTCGGAGCTAAGCCTCAAGGCTGCTTACCATCTAATATATCTTTAATAACATTTTCAAGCCTTTGTTTTCACTTTCATGGGCACATCTAATTCAATGTGCTTTGAAAATTCCAAATAACTACTGACAGTTTAGAAAGGAATAAAGAACAAAATGAATGGCACTAACTACAGCTTTGATGACTGTTTTGTGAGCATGATCACAAAACCATTTGCACAGAGATTTGTTATTATCCCCTGGTGGGTTAAAGCACATTTCAATAAAAAAATCAAACCACCAAAAAAACCAGACAGGGCAGGGTCCAGATTCTGAACCTACAAAAAAGCTCATAAATTCCAGCTAAAAATGCAGTTCCTGAGCTCTTTAAAGTTGTAAAGCAATGTCCACTGGTTAACTCTGAAAAAATGTGTTGGAATTTTGAAAATAAGTGTCTATAGTGCAGACTTACAGTGAACTGTATAGCCCATGGACTGCATTTGTCTTACAGGATTTGTTTTACGGCTTGCTCCCTGCTGGCCTCTGTCTTGAGCAGCTTTTAGATGCACTAGAGAGCTGGCAGTGAACTGGCTGAACGGTTTTGATGGCAGCAGCTCCCTCCTGGCAGTACAAGAACCCTCTCCCTAGTTCATGATCAGAGCTGCACCTGCCATATACTGGGCTTTGGCTGAGCGGTGAATCACAGATATCCCCAGAAAAGATTGCCCAGAGCTGGTTACGGCTGTTAAAAAAATAAATCCAGCCTGCAGCCTGCTCCAAGGGCCCAGAAGCAACAAAAGGATGGCAAACAGTATGCAGGGGGGCAAACAGATCTGGTATGTGTGGGGTTAGTAGCCAGCTTTTCGGAGGTGGTCTGTGACCCTTCTCTTACAGCATGAGTAAAATGCAGCCAGCCTGTCAATCAGTAAGTGATCATCACATCACTGTAGGTTACAAGCATGTCTAGTCTTGTAAAAGGAAGGAGTTATAGACTATGCCCCCCACAAAAGATTATTTGACCTACCTAAAGTCAGTTTGCTTTGTAAGACACCATGCAGATCAACACAGGGCCAAATTAAGTGTGAAAACTCCTGAGTGGTGCAATAAAACTGTATGGTTTCCCCAGCACAAAACTGCAGGGCTAGATTTGCAGGAGGAATTAAATGGGAATTTCCTCTCTAAGCTTTTGGGAATCCCTCCCCCTCCAACACAGTTAGGAGCTGCTTAGTCATCATCTAAAAATCTTGCCTGCAAATGAAAGAGAGTTTTTCAAGGAAATTAGTGTCTCCAGTGGGAATATTCACAAAGGAAATTGTATTTTCAGGGACAGAAACATTTGCCCCACTAAGCAGCAAAACAGATTAAAATAGTCAAATATAAAATATACATGTGACTGAAAGGAATCATCTTAAAACTCCCAGTTTGCATCAAATTGGGCCACAGCTGAAAAATAAAACTAAGAATTGAAACACTGTAGAAGGCAGTTCCACCAAGTCCTCAGCTATTAAATATTTCCATGTCTTCTGAAGATGTAGGCAGAGTTCCTAGCTTAATGACTGGAATAGGCCTCTCCTGGTCCAGAGGCACTGAAGGATCCCAATATGGGTTAAACTATTTAGATTTTAAAGTGATACAGAAACAATAGCTTTGTTTGGGGGAGAATATATCATGAGGCCACATTTTCAGGCTTGCCGTCAAATCTACAGCTGTCAAAGTCAATAACAGGACATTCCTCTCAACCATATCTTTTTTTGTATCCTCACTTCTCCTTGGCTGTCTTTTAATTTTATTTTTTAAAAAGTATTAAAAAACAGTTGCTACCTTTGGAGCTCTTATTGCTACTCCTGCTTTGGATATCTGTATTAAGCTTCTCTGTTGGTCTGCAAGCTGTAGGTGTCATAAAGGTCACTGCCATAGCCAGACAGCCCGAGAAGATTTTACTAGTCGAGATATTTTTGAATCAAGATTCAGAAATTCTGATGAAAAGTTCAAAGGTTTGTAAAAAAAGGAAAAGGTGTGCTAGAACCAGTTTGCTGTATGCTCTGAACATCTTGTTTGGGCTGTATACAGGGCTCGGCACATGTATTCATTAACAAGATTTCATCATGAAGGAGCCTAAAATACATTTGACCTGTAATTATCGAACAGACTTTGTTTAACTGTAAATGTGCTACATACCAATCTGGTTCTGCTGGAATGTTTGTTTGCTTTTATGTAGTATGTCACAATTCAAGGGATCTTCATTCCTGCACCTGCATTTTAACCTAAACATCATGGACCCTGGTCAGAGTTACCTCAAACTGTTCTTCAAAGACGCCCTGTTTGCAGGCTTTGAACTGTGAACAGCCTTAACCACAGATTAGAATAGCAAAAAAGTCTGAGTGTTTTCTGTTGAAAAATCTGTGCAAGAGTGTAGCTATAGCACTTCAGCTAAAGAGTACACAGGAGGTGGGGAAAAAGCCACCCTCCTGAGACACTGCTATCTGAGAGCAGCTGGGATACAGCTAGTCACAGACTGCAGGTTGCAGTAGCAAGAGACAGATTCAACTCCCCTCACAGAAGGAAGACACCAACCTCGGCAAATTCTTCACAGTGACTCCAAGCCAAACAAGCTTCCTTCCTGAGACTGTTCTACTTTGTGGCATTTTTCATCACTATGGAATCAGAAGCATGTAAAAAGTATCTACAAGATGGTGTTTCCTCCCTTAGCCTCTCCCCAGGGGTAAGAGCATGGGCAGGTGAGCATTTTATTTTAGCAGGCTTTTTGTACGAGCTAGCTCTCTCCTTTTGTGCAACAAATATAAATGATGCTTTCACCTTACTTCCCCTAACATCAAAACAAAGATGTGCGCTCAGCATTTGGAATGAGAACAGTAGCAAGAGATGAACAGAGGGTTGAGGACTGTCAGTTCGCGCTTTCCTAAGCTTCCTAGCTTCCCTGATACCCCAAGGCAGAAGAATTCCATAGATCATTGCATAGAAAGGTGAAATGCAATTAACCAGCTTTACTTCTGCAGATAGGACAGTACAGTTGACTATTTTGCGCAAAATCCACCCACTTTATCTACCTTTACAGCATTTTCTTCCATATTAAAAAAAAAAAAAAGGAAATTGAATGTTTCCTTACCCGTGTGTCTAGATTATATGCTGTCTTCTTTAGATCCTGCAGAGCCCTCTGCATGAACTCAAATGCATGGCAATCAACACAGGGACGACCTAGGAGAGTATTTAGTAGAGAATCATGACTATATGGCATGAAGTATTAAGAAGGGATAAACAGTGATTATAAGTATGAGGAAGAGCTACAGAAAAGAGTCCACAGAGTGAGCGTTAATGTACGTACTCTTGAACAATCCAGGTTAGTGTAAATGGTCCTTTATGATGGTCCACCCAGTCTCTCAATGACAAAAGAATTATTTCAACTAATTTGCATTAAAAATTTTCAAACTCATCTTCAGATTTTTCAGACATTTCAGAAATTACCTCTGAGACCATGAACCTGTTCCCGGGAGAATATTGTCTCTAAATCTCACAAACTTCAGGTCTAAAGAGAAAGCTAATAGAATAAAATTGACTGCATTATCACAAAGACAGATCACTTCGCCTCTAACTTTTAATATGATACAGCTTTGACCAAAGCTAGTGAAGTAAGCAGCAGATAAACAATGCCCTATCATTCGTGGGCACTGCTGATAAGCAGAACTGCTGCATTCTGGACTAACTGCAGTGTCTAAGATAGTATTCCCATATCTAGGTATCCAGACTGAAGGTCCCAAGGCTTGCTTTGCCTTGATCATCATGTAACACAAAGCTGTGCCCTAACAGATAGCAGTGCTGACACAGAACAAATATAGGCGTGATGAAATGTCTTCGAGTCATCAAGCTCTACATATGCTCTTTTTTGATTCTCAGTGCCTGTGCCTCTGACAACTTCATAGGAAATATTGCGCAAGTGAGAAATTCTGAGCGCAGGTTTAGTTTGCTCTTTGAGGTCTGGTAAGGAAGAAAGGATGAAACCTAGAGTGATGTTGGAAAACCTGGCTGTGTCTGTCAGCCTATTTTGCAACCACTTGATATTTGACTGATGACTACAGGTCTCGGGTAAGCTGGAGTATGAGCTTCCAGCTCACGATCTGTGTGCTAACCAGCAGACAGAAACCCTGTCTGCTGGAGAAGTCTGCCAAATTCTTTAAATGGCTAGTAAAAAAACCCAAAAGAGATAAAAAAATAAACATTGGCCAGTATTACAGACCTCCTCTTTTATTACTGTACCACCACCCAACCTTTGTGTTATTATATATGCACCAGACGTAAGGAGAGGACAGCGTTTTCCACATCAACAACTCAATGCAAGGTCCTGCCATTATGTTTATGATGTAAATTAAACCCATCACAGATCAGCAAAGGAGAATTAGGTGGTTGAAGGCTGCAAGACTGTCGAGTGTGCTTTCTTGACACCTTCATTGTGATTTTTCTAAAATAAAAACAACTGACTTTAATATAGTAGACATTACCAGGAATGAAAGATGTAATGAACATTCAATGTCAGCTAAAAAAAGCTAGTCTCGTCTGTGTCTCTGAAAAGCAAAGAGGGCGATTCCTGGTATAGAAAGGGCTAAGACAATGAAAGGGCTGTTCAAAAGAAAAGGTACAGAACAGTGACAGATTTCAGGTACAAGCGAGACAGCAACAGGCAGGAGATCAGGGTAAAGAGAGTGGTGAGCCTTGGACGCAGGAGAAAAACAGCATTGGTATGCTATAAAGTTGTGATTTTAAAACATCATAAGCAAGACATCCAGAATAGGACAAGCTTCAGTGATATGAAGTCCTGCAACATTAAAACTACAGTACAAGCTGCATGAGAGGACTGTAGGGTGGTACTTACTTTCAGCTGGTATGGCTGTTCCCGCTTCCTGATCAGATCTAACCGGCTCTGCGAGAAGCAGTGCAATCACAAAAAATAAAGGAACTGTAAGGATCACTCTTCTCAGCAGGCAGGGTGCCAGCATCTTGGGAATGGGTGCTTCTCTGTTTATCAAGAGATAAAACAGGTTAGTGAGGAACATCACAGATACAAGGGGTTTGCTATGAAGAATTTAATGTTGCTGATGGCTAAAGCATTAGCAGTCTTCCTCTGAAAGAAAAAAAATGTATCATAAGATCTAGAACATGGACAGAAGTTCTCTGTACTTCTCCCGCAGTGCACGTAAAACCCAACTGGGAGAGAACATCCCTAGACATGAAGATCAGAAGTCCCTACACAGTTCTTGGTTTCATTTGCAAGCCAGGATGCCAGCAACTTTGCCTGCTCTGTGATTCCAATCTTTCTTTTTTCTAGACATTCCCAGACCAGCACATGAATCTGGACAGACGTTTCACTGTTAGGCTTCAAGATCCAAACAGCAGGGATTATGGAGCTGGCTGAAACAGACCTGAACCTGGAAAAGGAGTTTTTACCCACTCTCTTGCTTTACTGATGCACTGTCTTTTCACAAGTATAGTAACTAAAGCTAACCATTATTGTTAACTATGCACCACACTGATCATAAACTCCTTTATGAAAGTAGCTGAAAGAAAACACTCTTGTTAAACCTCCACAAATTCATAGGTAGAATTTCTAACAGTAAATGCATCAAAACTCTTTGACCTTCTGTTTCCCCTCCCAATCTGGGTTTCAGACCTTTATTTGCAGCCATCCATTTGTTCCTGAACATCACAGCCAGGCCACACCATGCCTTGAAGATAGGTACAGTCTGGTCCAGCAACACTTCCCCTTCACACAGAGGCAAAATTTTTGACAAGCACACAGGTTTCAAATGAAGAATTTTCTTGATCCAGCAGGTAAACTGTTCAGATCAAGAGGCAATATGGGAAACTTGGAATGGCTCACACTGCAACTGTCTATTACAGGTTTCAGTTCAAGCTTCAAGGATTCTGACAAACTGCTAGGGTGGTCCTTAGTTCAGCCAAGTTTACCTTCCATTCCTGTACATTCAAATGGAGGAAAGAAAGAATCAGATAAGGTTAAGTTGTAGAAACACATGAAAATTCTCTTTAGCTGAACCGAGGAAATCAGGATAACATTCTGTTTCTTCCTGATTTTTAAGTCGGTACAAAAGCAAAAGATGTTGCGTAAGAACATCAAATCTGCATGTGCTGAGTGCAAGAGCACAGCACTCCCCAAACCAGCTTGTATTTCACATTTGAAAGGGCAATAGAGGGAGGCAGGAAAGGAAGAGTTTTTCCCCATGTTGTCACAACCACAGGATGGAACAAGCTTGGTACATGCAATCCACTGTTTCAGACACAGGTAATGTGAAGCCGCAAATTCTTCATGAACACTTGCAGCACGTGCAAACCAGCAATTCATCCAGGAAAGGAGCAGCATTACACACATCCCCTTCCCGTGCACCTCAAACTAAACATCAGAGTAGGGGATGGTTCAGAAGCAAGAGACACACATGTACATAGTCTCAGGCATATTTGGGCCCACATCAAAAAATAGATCTGGTAATGCAATTCCTATAACCTCAGAACTGGGCTTCCCATCCCTTCCACTGTTTAGAAGTCATCTGATGTGATCTTTTTTCTTACTTCTGCAATCCTTAAAATAAAGGGATTAAAATAATAAGAAGTGGCTTGGGTTATTTGTTTTAATTAATGGTGATCTGCAATCAAAGCAAGTACAATCAAAGACACCAGGCTTTGAAACAGGATGCAGCAGAGTGCCTCCAAGTAACAGTAAATTAGGATAATACCAGCCCCCTTTGAAAGTATGTAAAGCAGAAACCTCCTGGTCAGTAGGAGCAGAGGATATTCGCATAGCTGACTATGAGTGCTGGAAAGGTTCAACAACACAAAGCAGATATGCTGTTAAACTTTTTCAGGGTACCTTACATATCACCCACCCCAGCACCAGTTCAGCTTCGTATGTGAGCCCTGTTGCAAAATAATTTCTCCCCAAGTGCAGCCATCACCTTAGGCCACATCTAACTACTTACTGCCTCTTAGTTATTCCGTGGGAATTTGCTATCTGCGAGGAATAATCATGACAAGCTTCAAGGGTGGTCTCTCTCTGCAGCGCAACTGGGAATGGAGACAGATCTGTGCATGGACTTCTGTGAAAGAGAAAATTCACCCCCTCTAACAAAGGAAAAAAAATCAGTACCTGATCTCCCTCTCGTCTTTGTGACGGTCTCTTTGAAATGGCCGCTGCAAACTGCTAACAGAACAAGTGCAGCATTTCTGAGCATGTGCACTGTCTCTTTTTAACCTTCTCTGAAAGAGGTTATTACTATGGGGAGATTTCTGCCATGGCAACAATGCAGTGCACTGCAGCACAGCGCAGATTTAAAGAGGAACAGGCTGTGTCTCCCAGGTCTGAGGAAGGATGTTTCTGCTTTGACATGTGAGTTCCAGCAGTAACTTACCTGCTCCAGGTAAGGGTTTTAAAGCCAAGCCATTTGATTCCTCTCTCTTGAAGTCCGCTGAATGGTTTTCCCGAAGTCTGCTCAGCTGGATGTGGTGCCTGATGCAAGCAACTTGCTTCCCTAGTGCCTGAAAATAACCATGACAAATTACACCTGCTTTATGGCAAACCAGGAGAAACCATGGGATCACACTCAGAAACAGCAGGACACGTCACAGGTGAGACTTTGGTGAAGGCCCTTTCCTGGCCATTCCTGTGATTCCAGACTCAGGGCTGCCAGGAACAGCTGCAGGAGTGCAGGCCCTTAAACTCTGAGCGGGAACCTGAGTCCAAACTCTGAGCACACTTCACCCCCGTGTTCCAGCTTGCACCCCTGCTCCCGTTTCAACTCCCCATGAGCTACTCTCCAGAACAACGCTGACGGCACTCGTGCTGAATGCAATGCAACAATGGAGCACAGATGATAAAAGTGCTTTCGTCCAAGCAAAGCTAAGTTCAGGGGTCGCATCTTCCCCCCAAAAGACATCTCCCATCACAAATTAGAAAGTAGCAGTTCTTGTTCCAGAGAGAATGAGCACAGCCAAGGGCAGGTGCAGTAGTGGGAAGCACGCACCGATCTTCAAAGGGACCGTGCTCCGTGTTTGCTTTTAGCCGGTTCAGTAGGGACTCCAACGCTTTCATGGTGAAAGTCAGGGGCACTCGGTGTCCAGGAAGGTCAGGCACACAACCTTTTTTTTCCCATGAGTAGAAACTCCTTCTCAGAATTCTGACTAAATTGCTAGCTAATATTTTTTTTCTGAACGTGCTTTATAACGTGTCTCTCCTGTATGGCCCTAGGGGAATGGTTTGCTCCCACTAATTCAACATTTTAAGTAAGATGCTAAAATTTCAGGTTGATCAGTGTGTGACTACGATGCTATATGAAGTTACAGCACCCACAGCAGAGTCAAGAGTGGATTAATTATAGTACTGCCATCCTTATACATCATAAAACAGAAAGAAGGGGAAAATAATTTTTAGAGACCGTTCATTTGGGCAAACAAGATTTAGCATTGTTCTTGCAGAGATAACCATACAGGATTTTGTCTGATTAATTATCTGCCTATACACAAATCACAAATGCAGAACTTTATTCATGATCATTCTCAGTCATCTATTACCACACCTTGGCCTCTCTTCCTGACAAATAACATAGATATTCACATTTATACACACACATATCTATAGATCTATATATTTATCTGTACATATCTACACCTTTTCTTAACCTGCACTCTTGATCATTCCCAGTAAATCTCACCCTGTTCTCCTGAATCCCATCCTTCCTTTATCACAACAGTAACACCAAGCAGCCAGCCCCAGTAGCTTGGGTGTTACCACTGATTCCTTGTTTCAGACCCACACAATGGGCTTCTGACTCCTTTAAATACACTTTTAATAAATCTGTTTCTGCTGTTCTCAGCTGCCAAATTCCTTGCTCTAAGCAGCTCATAACAGACACTGTGACCTCCCTTCTTTAGCCTTGTCCTAAATCTACTTGTCCTGCAAAGAACAACTTCCTTGTTAGTGGTTTAATCACATTTCCTCTTTATTCACTTCTCCCCTCTCTGTGCTGTGTTAAGCATCAGCTTTTCTCTTCACTGAAGCTAATATTTTCTCAGCTGGAAAATATCAGTTTACCAAGCAGGAGATTTTTGACAGAGACCCCAGTTTAGGACATTTTTGTTTGAAAAATGTTTTGAAAAAGATTATTTTGACAGTTTTCAAATTGATAATTTCTGGCTTTCTGCTTCAAAATTATTTCCTTTTTAAACCTATGCTTAACAGAGAAGAAAATACACTTCATGCTCAGTTCATGGAATTGCAGAGTGGGAGCACCTCTTACACTAAGGGTATTGGGGCACATCCCCACCAGAACATTACAACCCCAATAAAATCTTTCCCTCTTTTATTTCCCTCACACACAAAGCACGGGTGGCACAGATGCTAGACCAATGGCACCCCAAAACTGGAATTACAGAGCAGAACTGGGACTATACAGCACCTACACAACAGCCCTCAGTGGCAATTTCACTGGTGTGCCCAAAGTTGCAGTGGTGGTCATACAGCACCTTGGGCTGGGCGTGAAAAGTGACATCTAAGTGAAATCTGGAACGTCCTGACACCCCAGTTGCCCTGGGGGATCATTCCTGAGGTAAGCAGAGAGAATTTATAGTTTGTTTCTGTAATGAAGTTGAACACAATGGATTTTTTTTCAAGGTCCCCACCAGCTAAAAAGCATCAAAGCACTGTCTCTGAGATTTCAATTTTTCATCTTGATAGCACATGCTTTGATACTATAAATATTTCTGTAGGATTGGGAGAAAAGCTCAAGCCTTTACCTCTAAGCCCCTTCACCGCTTGGTCTCTCCTTCGCTCTTAAATCTAATACTCTGTCACAGAAGAAAACTTCCTTCCTTCACTGAAGATAACAGATTCTGTCACTTCTTCTCCAGACACTTTTATGCTTTCTCACAGCCTGCCCTGTAAATCACGGCAAAAATCTCCCCACAAGGTACCATCTTGTCTTCCATCAAATCCTCTTTCAAGCTTTACCTCTGCCACGCATCCCACAAAGCACTGCTGCCTGGCAGAGCCTGCGGAGGAAGCCGGCTGTGACTGCTGATGGGATGCAAATGTGCTCGTTATACCAATATCTCGCTGCCTCACACCTCTCGCTGATTCCCCCCCCTTGTCATCCCGCCGCAATCCCAGGCTGCGATCGCTCGAGGGCAGGGACTGTGTTTGCACTTGCTGGCGCCCGCACCACCAGGCTGGAGTGTTGATTGAGGACTTCAGGCAGATGTGATGAATAATAATGTCAAACTACCCAAAGCTGATCTCATTGTCCCGCACTCTGATGTATGAGCTATTCACAGAGCAAGCCTTTCCTACTCTTTTCCTTCCAATGTAAAGCTCTTGGGAAGTGTCAGACTGACCAGATTAAGCAATGAAGCCTTCCTTTGTTCCCTGGACAGGCCTCGCATATCTTGGTAGCAGCAAATAATTGAAAAGGTTCCTCCTTCTGTTTTTCCCACCTGTAATTTTAGGAATAATTTCCTTGTCCGTAACTCTGATTCCTGCAATCCCTATCTGTCAGAGCATGGCTCATCTGAAATCATTCTAGGTTCCAAAAGTCTGGAGTTTCAGTGCAACACTAAGGCTGGGCTCATGTCCAAGTCTGAATTCTCCACACAGCACTCCGGGAGGCCTGCACTGTCAGAACTACTTACTGCTCCTTGGATGAGATGCTAAACTGAGGTCAAATCTTCCAGCATCTCTCTGGGAGTTGCGAAGCATTTAAAAATCCCATGGCAATATTCAGGAAGGGTTAGCGTCAGCTGAGCTATCCTTGGCTTGCACTGTCCCTATCCACCCTCCCACACACACATCTTTGGGGTGATCAGCTGCGTTCCAAGCTGTGCTTGAGCTATTTCTAGTACATATAGTTGCAACTTTAACTAGTTTGCGAAGTCCACAGGGATGTCTTGAGTACTTTGCAGCAACTATACAAATACGCATGAATGGGTTTTGAACTGAAGGGGAACAAACTGCTATCCTTCCAAGCTTCCCATTCTAGGCCCAGACTACAGAGTCCAGGGGCCACTTCTACCATGGGTGGCCTATAAAGGGAAGGAAAGAGGAGATCTCTTAGCTGAGCAGCAGTGCACCATTAGCCAGTTTCCTTGCAAAGGCTGCCTTGAAAAACAGCAACTGAGAAAACTAAAGGACATGAGATTGCTAAAATTGGAAGCTTATCAATTACCTTTTTTTCCCCAATAGATGTTTATTACCCGAAGTCTGCATAAGGACTCTCCAATGTCAGAATCCAGAAGACCCACAGGCAGAGGGCTCCAGATCGACTCCCTGCTCTAGGAATCAACTCCTTCACAGCTAGTCACCTGAGATTGATCCAGGGTGAGTTTTACGACACCAATACTTTGACCTCTCTGATAATTAATAATTCTGACATTAAGATCACTATGATTTAATGGCCTAAAAATGGATGTACCTTCACACATTTATGTCTGAAAACAGCATCTTTAACCAGAGTTCATGTTTACAAGATATGTGCAAGCTGACAGATATAGCTTCTCATTTTTACAATTTTTTTTCTCCTTTCTACAATCACAGTGCTACAAATTTCAAGCTGGTTAGTACAATATTATCCTGATTTTACACTAACTGTGACTGCACAGTTTCCAGCTAAGACCTTACTCATATCTGCCTTCAAAATGTCTTGTGAATGAATTCCTCATTTGTCATCCAGGGATGCTTTTAGACAGTGGCCAGTGAAAAATAAGCAATTAATATTCCTTAAGCATCAGTATAGTGGTCACAGTCTTGGCTGAGATGCTGGAGGACAGACCAGAACGACACCTGCTAAAAGCACGGCTAGTTCTAGCATAAGCGACTGAGTCAGGAATCAGTGACCAGAGCTGGGACAGGCTCCCATTCCCAGGAGGTCTAGAACTAGATCTAGGCAGGGATCAAGTTCTAACACAGACTCTTAAACAGATTACGATCCCCGAATCCTCAGGATCACCTGGTTAACTTTCTAGCAGGGAGACACAGCAATCACCAGAGCAGAATGCGTTATTTGTTCGTCAGAGAACTTTTTCTAACTGTTGGCAAAAAAAGTGTAGCACTACAATCCTCAAACCAACAGATTGGGTTCTTCTTCTGAAGGAAAAAGCGTGAAGAATCCTGCATCAGTCTTCTCTTTTACTAAGTTACAGATAGTAGTAGCAACTAGCGTCAACCTCTGTTAGC